TAGACCGCCGCCGTGAATCCCGAGGACGAATTTCGAATACTCGGAAGAGTAGCTACCAAAAGAGGCGCCGCCAAAAGCGATTCAGAAATGGTGCAAGTGCCTCAGCAACTTGGTGCTGAACATTTCCTGGTAATTTCGCTAATCGTGGCCATAGGTTTGTCGTTAGTCAGCCTGCGTTTTTCAGAAAACCGTACCGATAGGCTCTGAGATAGAGATCGAGGAGGGTGGTCGCATAGCGACAAAGCGTAGTGTCGCCAAAGAAATACACATCGGTCGGCAGGTACGTCGCAGAGCAACTGTTCAGCGTAACAGCTTAGGTGGTAACTGATGATGTGACAATTTTAGTACACCCCGGAAAAGTTGGAATTTATCAGAAGTTTGATGCAGTGCTTCATCGAACCGTTGGCTTCGTCAGCGATCGCGCCAGAAGCAGGGAAACCAAGGTAGGGCTTAAGCGAATCTGCTTCACCGTCAGCGTAATCGATCGATCTAATCTAATGGCTTGCTCCCGAAAAGCAGCCCATATTTTTTTTCTACCTTACAAGAATTTTTCATCATTGGCGCCATATCGACAGTAAGCTAGGTTTCACTTCCTTTTACTGTTAGCGGTATTTCATGAATCGAACGAGTAACTGTCAGCCCTTGTCCAGATCTTGACAGACCATCTGCTTTCAGTAAAGCTCGAAGTAAATTCCAGCGATACATAAAGTAAATTTTCAGAGGCACACAGCATTTACGGCATGATACCGCATAGCAAATTAATTCTATATAATATGTTTAACTTTTCGAATTTTATTTAATTCATGCACGGGTCCAAGCAGATCGCACAGTTGTCGAAAATGTGCTACCGAGCGGTCAACGTGGATAGCGGAAGTTGTTTCACTGTCAGTCAGTTAGTCATTTGCGATGTAAGTTCATCCTTTCATGCCGCGTATCCAGAAGTGTCACGTAGTCGTTTACAACTCACCGATCCCGCGCCAGTGTTTGAGCTTCGGTAGAACATAACCCGAGTCTAAAGCAGAGTTTTTGATTCACTAGTCTCAGGTTGCTTTTGGCCTTCTTTCAATCGAGGTGATCGTCGACCGGTCGATTCGGCAAGAAGTAACCGTTTTGCCTTCCTTTCTGAAAACATTCACACTACTTTCAAACCCAAACCATTGGAGTTGTTACACTGTTTGGTTAATTGCATGCCAATGTGCTTGTTTATACTTATTCATTGGTAAGAGTAAATGATAGAAATTTCCCCACCTTTCACCCTCGTATTCATGGCATATTAAAGTCTAGCAAATTAAACAATTAAATATGCCGGTCATGATAACCTGGCTTACTCATGAATTCATTTCGGATTCCGGCTCAACGAGCATTTTTCTCATAGAACAACCAAGTGCTTCGCCCCTTCTTTGTCGCTGCAAAACCAGGAGATAGACAGGGTTCTAAGCACCGGTTATCTTGATGGCACCGGATAACGAGTCTATACTTCAGTGTACACGCAGAAAATGGCCATCACGATACATACGACGGTGCAGCTATTTCTTGAAACGTTTAACTTCGTTATAGACCCCTAAAGAAATCATTTTCAATACTCTAAATACTTCCACTTATTACATATGCCTCGCCAGTATACTTTTCTTTTCATAAACTGGACCTAAGCAACT